TAGTTTACACTCGAAGTAGATTGGTCTCTCTAAGCGAGATCCCAATTCGTCGGTCATCTGACGTGACGTCGAGAGTGACCGACTGAAAGGGAACTAAAACTATTAAAAGTCATTTTTGCTAATTGACACTCAAATACTGAAACAAATACTCAAACTGAAACAAAAATCACAAATATTTCCTTGGCAATAAATTGAATTATGTTTAAGTAGTACATTTACCAAAACTAAAAATGAAATGAAAATAAAAATAGCATATAATAAAAATAAAGCAAAACAGAAATGTTAAAAAAAATTAAACATAAATAAAACAATAAAAATATATATAATATATCATTTATATTTAATTAACATTCAAAATGTTATAGGGCAATTGCTTTAGTTAATATTTTACGCTTTATATTTACTCTTCCTGTTATGCAGTAAAAAGTGTAAACTCACAATGATATGGTAGGACTGGACGGTTGCATTATTGCCGTTGTTTCCTGCTGATTCGTCATAGAATTGTTTTATTTCCTTAATGATCTAAAATGGCAAATTAATAAAAACGTGTGTTGTAAAAGTCAGACTGATTTGATTTCAAATGAACTCTGAATCAATATGACTGGGCTCTTTTGTAGTTTAGTAGTACCTCATCTTTGTTGAGGAACCCAAACACTCCTGCAGCAACTTCTGCTCCAAAGATGACCAGAAGACAGGCGAAAAACTGCCATGAAAGAGAGACACAGTACCTGGGTTATGTCTGCTCTAGATTCCAAACAGTACGTTTCTTCTTTTTTTCTATTATCAAATCAGAATGTTTTAAATAAAACAACATCATCCTCAAGTTTACCGTCAGTGAACAATTTTGTTTGGTTAACTCAAAATGAGAAGAACATCACACTCACCAATCCCAGAAGACACTGAGACTCCCTCACGGCACCACAGCAGCCGAAGAAGCCCACCAGCATCACCAGACCCCCGGCCGCGATGAGGATATAGACCCCTGCACAGGACACCAGAACACACAGAGACATTTAACTAATGCTAAATTTATTTAAATATTATAAAGCATGTAATATGGCTTATTGCTATTTGTAGCAAAAACATAATTTATTTTAAAATACTTCAAATATTTAATAAACTCAAAAAGGGGTGAGGGGTGTGTCAAATTTAAAACTCCAGATCCTGATCCAGATCCTGCAGATTTCAAATCATGTACTTCCAGTCGGTCCTGCTCCAGCCAAGCAACTGCCATTGATGTGAATTGGAACATTTAAGAATAATTTTCTCCTGGTGTTAGTCCCTTTTTGCCACTACATTGCTGTGGTTTCAGCAGGATGTAATGTAACTAAGTCACCAGCAGAGGGAAGCAAATGCGTTACGTGAGTCTCTTTGGGAGATGACAGCATGTGTTTTGAGCACAGCTGACTGCGTATAGCCCTTCAAGATGATGTCACTGGCTTTCACTCCAGCCTCTTCCATCAACTTATTGTCCTCATTAGAGCAAAATAGAAAGAGAGGGTGGGGTGCATGAATTCCCATCTGCCTCAGCAACAGAGCAAAGCCACGACAAAGTCTAATGCCTGACAGGTTCAGTCAACATCAGGGCATGGAGAGTCTGCTTCCTGGTACTCACTGATCTAGAATCAGCTTCCTCAGACTCCAGCCTCAAAATGTAATCTAGAGACATGAGCTCTTTAGTTCAGCATGGGGAGTTCATCCTGAGCCGGTATAATTATGCCACAGGAGACCTGGGACAGGTGGGAAGTCTGGAAATGAGATCGAAGCTCTCTTGAGAGAGAGACTGTAGGGGATATTGCGACCCTCTATCTTGCAATATCATTAAATAGGATAAAAAGGCAGATAATGAGTAATTATTACGCTGCTTGCAATGTCACCCTTTAGTATATCATATTCATCATTCAGGCCAGGGTATTAAAAGTTATGAAAAGGTGTGATTTTTTGACCTCTTATGCTCATCAAGGCTATATTTATTTGATAAAAAATATAGTAAAAACTGTAATATTGTGAAATATTATTACAATTCAAAATAACAGTTTTTTATTTGAATATATTGTAAAACGTAATTTATTCCTGTGATCAACACTAAATCTTAAGCATCATTAACCCAGTCTTCAATGTCACATGATCTTCAGAAATCAGTATATGTTGATTTGCTGCTCAAGAAACATTTCTGATTATTATCAAAGTTGAAAACAGTTGTGCTGCTGCTTCAGTGTGATAATTGTTTTTATACAACAGCCTGATAAACAATAAATTCACAATGAGTATCTTACATTTTAGACAGTATTGCCAGCTTGATCCGTCAATAGCAATAGATTCAAATAAAATTAAAACAGAATTAGCTGTTCACACAATGTACTGGGGTGCCGTTCAATGAATGAAAGCATTTTGAACAAATTGGTTGAGTGAATAATTCAGCGAGTCACTCATAAAGACAACTTGTTTAGTCCCTGAACTAATCAGTGTATTTTAACAAATTGGTTAAGTGACTAATTCAATGACTCACTCATAAAGACAGTCACTTTTCGCCACTCACTGGTGTAACAATATAAGCTGCAAAAAGAGTCACTAAAAATCCCCATCACTGGACACAAGCGGATTGATGCAAACAGAGAAAAGTCCCTGCTGTTCGATTAAACAAAAGAGTCCCTCATAAAAGTCACACCCTCATAAACACGTCACATGATTTGAGGTGTCATTCATATCTTTAATACTAATAATGCTTAGGTTTAGGACTTTGTTCAAAATGCTAGTCCTCAGCATGAGCAATGATGATACTTGTCTTTGCAAACACCACTAAATATAGAAGCAAACAGATTAAAACAAAATAAAAATTCATTTCCCAGAACATATATTTCCTCTGTGCAGAGATTGTTACTTACTCATGCTGAAAATACTCACTATTATCTCAAGCATTTGGGAAACAAAAAGAGTAACACGGAGATGAACGAAAACAAAGTGTGACAGAGAGCGAGAACACAACCTTTATCTTCCCTCTTGAGTAAAAACAATCTTGTCACACGCTGATAACATTGACAGTAATCTAAAAGTCATGTCAAATGTGTGTGTGTGTGTGTGTGTGTGTAGACAGGGAGCACTAAGAAGCCTGAACTGGATAATGTCAGCACTGTCAGATGGTTTATTCCAGACGATTAAGGTTTGGATGGTTAGCATGGTCCAATTAACCATATTCTCGCATAGCCAGACCTTCAGACTGACGGCAGAACATCTGGAAACCTTGACCAAAGCCACTAGAAGGCAAGCCTGCAACCATTAGCCGAAAAAGTGTAACGGCTAAAGCTAACGCTTCTGGTCTGGCAGTACGTGGAAAAGGAGACCAGAGGTCGTTTTTTTTTAATGGATGTCAATGGAGGAGAGGCTTCACTATGCGGAATAAACAGCTTTTTAGAGGAAACGGCTTATCATTTAATGAATCGACAGGCTATCTGCTAATCTTCAACATGTTTTACACTAAACAATACTTTTGGATTGAACTATTTTTAGAGTTTACCACGAAAAAATGCCATTTTATAAGAGAAGTCACTGACTTTTTGTGACAGGTGGGATTCAGCTTACGGCATTTCTCATTCACTCCTATGGGATCCGTAAACGGCGATTGAGTGTCGTACAACTCTGACTGAAATTCACCCTGCATTCCATTCGGAAGGGCTCATTCCTACGCCCTAATCCCTTCAAAGGGTTTACCCTCCGGAGTGAGAGCTTCAAAGGGTTGAAGGGTGTAGGCGACTAAACAACTGTTTCTTGAAGTGCCCTTCTGTGTCATCATCCCGTAACCACACGGAGGCACTGTCATCATGCAAAGAATCTGCGCAAAGGATCATGGGAGCCCGAAGTGTCCATCAGTTGTAATTCGAAATCATGCGAAATCCTTCATTCCGAAGGGCCCTTTGAAGTGGCCAGTTTTGAGCACTTCAGGTTTGGAATGACCCTTCAATATGGCGGCCATGATTGTTTTCACTCCGAAGTGCCCTTCGGAGGGCGATATATCCCGTTTGGAACGCACTGTATATGACGTCAAAGCTGTAATGTGATTGGTTATTATGGCACACGTGATCCAAGTTAGCCGTTACGCTTTCTCCAATAGTAAGTAATACAGACCCTCTCATCTCCCTATAGTAAGACAATAGGCTTGTTCGAGATGAACTACACTAGCCTGCCACCTGCTGGCGAGAGTAGCCGCTTGCAGTCAGGGCGGAATTAAAAGTTGGACACTTTCTGCTCTCCTGTAATGACGCTCTCGCAGTGTTTGCATACTCTATCACAGAGGAAGTGAAATAAATGCAATATTTGTCAAATACACAGACATTTCCGAAACGTTTTCATGAGCAACAGAAACACTTTTTATATACTGCTTAATACAGTGCCATCTGTTCATGAATAAAGTTCAACATAAACATATACTATTTAAATACCAATAAAGTGGGGGTATATATGCTTTTATCAGTGTTTTTTGATAAATGTGACTCAATATAACAGTGCGACTACACTACAAAAGCTTTACTGTTATAAAAACAGATTTGTGAGCATTATTGGAATTTAATTGTTAGAATAAACACACAACACACCTCATGCTTGTCATCGCAGAATCTGACCAATGAGAATAAAGCGTGTCGTCATCAAGGCTTTCGCAGCCGATTTTGAGCATCTGCAGCGCCTGACCTCGGCGGCTGGTCTCATTTTGCTCTTGCGATACTTTGATGACACATGTGATCGTAAGGCGGCTGCAGTGCCAATCAAAGTCGGACAAATTTTCTAACCAGAACGCATTGCTTTTGACAGGCGGCAGCCGATCTTTGCGGCGCCGCATGAAGTCGAACAAGCCTATTCTCTGCCTTGGCCGCTTTGAATGGCCAAGACCCGCTCAAGAGGCCACATGACTGACAGGTAAAGCAACCAATCACATTTCATGGTATCAGGGTGTCTTTGTTTCCAGGCGGAACGTTAAAAAATGCGACACACACGTCCTCCGGAAATACTGTAGAATTCAACCAATCCGATGAGGACTTCGAAACTCCTGAAGTGTTTATAATTTTGTGTGCGATATGCATCAGACGTTCAGCCAACGGTCCGTGGGCATGATGTCAGAGGCTGAGATTAGAGGTCTACACGGAGGACCCGAGACCCGAGGACCCGGGACCCGGTCAGCCGGGTCCGGGTCGGGTCCCAATCTATTACTTCAGGTCCCAGGTCTGTTTAACATTGTGTGTAATACCCGAGTCGATCGGACTCGGAGAACAGTTATCAGAGTCAGTCAGCGCTGTGCGTGTGTTGTTTTGTAACTTTCAACTTGTAAAATTAGGATGAGAAAAGTGTGAGTCGGTAATTTGAAATAAGGTGTAAAAAAACCAAAACAAAAACACGAGCGACGTCATCAGAAGCAGGGTGGGCGGAGTTAATGCACACGCACGGTGATAAATTTTTGACATTTCTCGGTTCTGCACGGGCCCAGGTCCAACTTTCAAAATAATAGACGGGTCCGGGTTGGTTCAGTGTAGCACATTTACGGGTCTCTTCGGGTTCGGGTACGAATTTTTGGACCCGTGTAGACCTCTAGCTGAGACTGCCCCTGCTAGATACTATACAAGGGTAATTGCATATAACACAACCTTTTTAAAACCACTAATATTAAAAAATGAAATGAAATAATATCAAATAAAATAAATGAAAGGGTTAGTTCACTCAAAAAAAAAATTGCTGTTAATTTACTCACCCTCAGGCCATCCAATGCAGGTGACTTTTTTTCTTCATTAGAACAGTAGAAGAAAACCGTGGTCCGTGGGGACTCATAAAATGCAATGTTCAGTTTCTTGCACAGACCAATTATTTACTTCATAAGACTGCAATATATATTGTCAGGAGCCATGGGTATTAATTGTGTGTTGTCTGATATGCTTTTTTTTTGACTCTCAAAGTGATGGCAGGCATTGACTTACATTTTATGAATTACCAAAGACCACGGTTTCAGCTAAAAATCTTCTTTACTGTTCTACTCAAGAAACAAGTCACCTACATCTTGGATGACCACGAGAATGAGCAAATTAACAAAGAAAAAATCATTTTTGGGTGAACTATGCCTTTAATGCTATAAAATGTAAAGACAGTTTTATATTTTTATTTATGAATACCTATTTATTTCATTTATACTGATACTGATATAACATAACTCCACTATGTTTTTGTAATATTTTCTAACATAACTTTTTGAAATAAAAAATATATTATCAGCATAACAATTTGAGTTAAAAGTTAATAATAATAAATAAGTTACATAATATAAAATGTAATAGATAAGAGAGAAAATCACTATAATCTAAGTAACAATTATAATTAGTAAAAAT